TCCATGGTTCCACGGGAGAAGGGGAGAGGCAAGAGAGTACGCTAATAGTAATTAATGGCCAAGAGCAATCAGTTGACTTTCAGCCCATGGTTTCCTGGTTGGGTGTCTACGGAAGGTGTAGATGACCCGGTGACTCAACATAGCTGTGTGGATGAAGGGGATTTTACAGCATGTCTGTCTGGTGCCGTAGCCCAAACCGAGTCTCACCTGGTGGGTGAAGGGTTTCCAGAGCTGGGAGTGAAACCTCTATGACAAAATGATAACTCTTTAGGCTTTCATAACTGAATGAGACTCTCCCACAGAGCAGAGAGTAGGACGTAATCTTGTCAAGTTTTAGGAGACTAGAATTTCTCAACCTCAGCATTACCGCCTCCCTCACCAATTGGAGAGAGGCAAGTGGTGGCTTACTGTGTAGCCTGGGCTAGCTTTGAACTCAACCATCACAATGCTTCTGCCTCCCAAGAGCTGGGATTACAGGTAGATGCCAGTACACATGGCTGTAGATAGTTATTTGTGGGGGGCTTCCTGTGTCTTATAGGATAGTCAGTGGCACCATTGGCTTCTAGTTCCCTGGAAGCCAGTACCACCTCCCCTTCCTCTATGGTTGTAACAACAAAAACATGGCACCATACATCCTGCTGCTAAGGGTTTTAATTTTTTTAAATAACTTGTTTATTTTTGTTTTATTTGCACTGGTGTTTTGTCTTGAGTGTCTGTGGGCGGGTGTAAGATATTAGAGTTATAGACAGTTGTTAGCTGCCATGTGGGTTCTGGGAATTGAACCCTGGCTGTCTGGAAGACCAGTCAGTGCTCTTAACTGCTGAGCTATTTCTCCAGCCCTGGTGCTATTTGATACAGTTTCAGTATGTTTCCAAAGTTTCATGTGTTGGGGCCTTGGCCTTGGTGAGCCAAGGTAATGCTGAGCTTTTGGAACCTTTAAGAATGGAAAGTGACTGGGCCATTGGGGATACTGCCCTGGGGAGTTGCTGAGGGACCCCCAGTGTGGTCCTGGGAGAGTGAGTTGTAGAAGTTCAAGCCCAACTACAGAATGGCTCTGGCCTTTAGCCTTGTCATGTGACATCTTCTGAAATCTATTGTGGGAATTTGGTTGTTCCTTCTAATGACCAATGGAATGGATTGGGTTGGCCCAATGGGTGTGGTCTTCTCATATGTGACCCCTCAAGAAGCAAGGGAGGAGGGTAGAGTGCTCTCTCTTGGACTTGGAAGACTTCATGACTCTAAGGTTCAGTGACTTGGTCCTGAACTTGCCTCCATCCTTTTCTGGTGGACGAAGAGGCAGTGACATCACTTCATTCTGTATTCATGTGTTATTTCCAGTTCATTCCTGTATTAAAGAGACTGCTAGTTAGTTCCTGGCCGCTTAGTCCTGAAATAACCACAAAGATATTGTATTAATTAAATTACTGCTTGGCCCATTAGTTCTAGCTTTTTATTGGCTAACTCTTACATCTGAATTTAATTCATTTCTATTAATCTGTGTATTGCCATGTGGCTGTGGCTTACTGGCTAAAGTTCCAGCATCTGTTCCATCGGGCTTTTCCCTGACTCCACTTCCTTTCTCCCAGCATTCACTTTAGCTCTCCTGGCCTAACTCTATTTTTTTTCCCCCTATCACAGGCCAAGGCAGTTTCTTTATTCCTTAACCGATAAAAGCAACACATAGATAGAAGGACCTCCCACACCACGTCCTTTAATAAATGAGTCTTGATCCAAGACTTTTCTTGATTGCCACTTTAGAAATCAATACTGCCATCGTGATGCTGTTCACCATGAGGCCCTCATCAGAGGCTGGACAGATGGGACAGCCTGGCCTTGGTCTTTCAGTCTTGAAAACTGAGCTAAAGTATCCAATCTCAGTATTTCATTACAGCAACTGAACATAAACTAACATGCCCAGTTAGGCAGCACACTCTGGAGTGATTAAAGCAAGAATTCTGGGAGTCATAGTGCCATGATTCCAAGCCCAGAGCCTCAACTTGTAGGAAGCTCAAATGTGTCAACAGGTAAGGTGATTTTTATAGATAAGTGACTTCCTTTTCTGCTGCTGTGAGGAGAAGCCACGACCAAAGCAACTTCCAGAAGAAATATTTTATTGGGTCTTGCTTACAGTTTCAGAGGGTTTGTGCATGACCATCATGGTATGGAATAACATTGTGTGCATGACAGCGGGTAGGCAGGCATGACCCTGGAGCATAGCTGAGAACTTACATGTTGAGACACAATCACAAGACAGAGAAAGAGACACTGGGGAAAATGTCTTGGACTTTTGAAATCTTAAAGCCCACCCTCAGTGACACACCTCCTCCAAGAAGGCCACACCTCCTAATCCTTCCCAGATAGTTCCACTGACTGGGAACCAAACATTCAAATATATGAGCCTATAGAAGTCATTCTCATTCAAATCTCCATCGTAGGCTGCAAACTAAGGCAATTAATCCTCCAAACCTGAGCAACTTGGGAGTGAAAGGGTTTCAAATAAAAATTTCAGAGATTGCGGTTGTTAGCAAAGTGAGTTCATAAATCCATATACTGCATTGAGCTGAAAGCTGAACCTGATGTCCCCTGTGTGACTATCTAGCAAAAATACATCACTCACAGAGACTTCATTTGATCTTCCCAAACCTTATATGGTCTCATTGCTGGTGTCATCCCCTTCCCATACGTGGGAACACTGAAGAACGAAGAAGTCCAAAATCACACAGGGAATTGTATGGTCCGGATCGCTGTCCCAGCAGACTAGTTTTGAAGCCCGTGTTCTTAACTAATGACCATTGGTGCTCAGGCATCTGAGGCAAGTTGTGCTACTCGGCATGTTCTATTGTACACACACCACTAGCCCCAGGGAAGCTCTAGGTTACCAACCTCACTCCCAACGGAGCATCTTCAGGAAGCAGCGTGTTCAGGGGGTGCTGTGATAGATAGAGAGCAGATGGCAGCAGAAATCACTATGTAGTAGGCGAGAGGCAGGTGGTGCCCAACCTGATGCCTGATTTTGAAAAGCTGGTCAGGGCTCCAAAGGTACAGCAGTTCCAGGAAGTTGCCTCTGCAGTAGGACGTGCAGTCTTGGATCAAGTTGGTCTTTAGGGGCACACGAAGGTGATACGAATGGAGAACGTTGCAGAGTCTCTGGCCACATCACTCAGCACTGGCAGAGCCCCAGAGGGTGTTGATAGTGATGGTCAGGCATGCCACCCTTGTTGGTTAATTAAGCTTGCAGATTCCAGTGAGGACGGACCGGAATAGTAGCTTTGGAAGCTGGCGATCTGAGCAGGCAGCAGAGGAACATCCTAGAAAAGTATCATATAATTCTCCCTCTGGTCAGCAGATTATGGGTGGTGGGGAGACAAAACCCAGTTTTTCCCCTCTGGCCAGGTAGTCAGCCACATTTTTTTTTTTTTTTGGGAACTGTAATTTCTATGCTTTTCTGATTATCTCTTGTAATCCTTTCTCATTCTGGGGCTATTTCTCATTCAGGCACTTCATGAAATGCTGAGTCCAGAGTCATCTAGTATCAATCTTGAACTCCTTCAGGGGCATTTGGGCGGGGGTGGGGTAGTTAACTTGAAAAAAAAAACCAATTAACTATGCATCTGGTGATTCCTTTTTACAAAACAGAGTACATGTGGATACCTACAGAATACGAAAGAGTCATTTTCAGTTGTCTGTTCTGATCTCTCTCTCCCCCTCCTTCTCTCTCTCTCCCCCCCATCTCTCTGCACAGAACCAGTATCTCTTGACACCAACCAGGCAGTTTCTAAAATTTCACCTATGAGAGATTTTCAATCTTTTTGCCTTTTTCAACCATGTCCAAAACCCAACTGGCTCTGCTTTCCAGCTTGAAGCTAGTCAAAGCCCGAGCTGAGCCTCTCCTGCCGACATGGGGTCTTCACCCCGCGTTAGAAGTCACAGTGTCCTCACACATGGGCTATGAGCAGAGGCACAAATGCATGCGTTTCCAGACATCATATCAAGCTGGCACAAGCCGTTCTTCAGAAACACATGGAGACAACCGCCAGGCAGAATGGGCAGAGGGAGAGGCCTGGGCGTGTGAGGAAGGGAGAGGGCATGAGGTCATAGGTGACTGGAGTACTTAGAGGAGGAGGTGTCTAGACCTCAAGCCCCAAACACACTCTTCATTCTCCAACCACCTCATTTTCTAGAGAAGGAAGCTAGAAAGCACTGGTAGGTGTTGTGGTGGCAAGGAGGAAGTTGAGGGGCCAGGATCGTATATGAGTAACCAAAGATCATTTTGGACAAGTCATTCTTGCTGAGGCTCAGTTTTCTCTAACAGAATCAGACTGCCCTGGCTTTCTCATACTGGGTGCCTGAGGCACATTTACAGCTTGACTATGCGCGGACCTCTTTCCCTCCCCGCCCCCTCCCTCTTGCCCTTCCCCGCATTTCCGTGCTGGGAATCAAAAGGAGGACTTCATAAGTGCTAGGTATAGGCTCTACTAAGGAACCAAATTCTTAGGCAAAGGAATTCCCATTTTACAAATAAAAGCAAACAAACTGGTGTACAGAGAGATGAACTCGCTCTAAAGTCAAATAAACTTCAGCCCATTACAAGTTGCTTTAATGCGTTTGGAACCACACAGGTCCATACCATTTCCAAAGTTCAACTCTGACACGCTTCAATCAAGGTTAGCTAAATAGGTGGATGGATAAAGGGCTTCCAATAGTCAGTGTCCGTGAAAGGTGAAGAAGGCTGTACAGGGGGATGGAGGCAGGGATTGTTTTAGTTTTCTGGTTTAAGAGCTCTCAGACTGCCCAAGGGTCTGAGTCCTCTGCCTTGGTGGCCACATCCCCGCCCACGGTGTCAGGTTAGTGTTGCCAAGCACTTCCTCGTTCCGGTGCGCCCTGGACGCCGCTCCTACGCCCAGTGCCTGGGCAGCTGCTCAGGCGGGAGGGGGCCAGAGGGGAGGTGTCGCAACTGACTCCCGCCCCCCCCGCCCTCCCCCCCCGCCTTGGCACTCAGTTACCTCGCAGATGAGCGCTCTCGCAGACTGCGGCGGGCGCCCGGGCGCCCGGCATGTCCCCTGAGTGTGCGCAGACGACGACGGGCACTGGCCCCTCGCTCACCCTGGACCAAGTCAATCGCACCCATTTCCCTTTCTTCTCGGATGTCAAGAGCGAGCACCGGTTAGTATTGAGTGCCGTGGAGACCACTGTGCTGGGGCTCATCTTTGTGGTGTCACTGCTGGGCAATGCGTGTGCTCTGGTGCTCGTGGCGCGCCGACGGCGCCGAGGGACGACAGTCAGCCTGGTGCTCAACCTCTTCTGCGCGGACTTGCTCTTCACCAGCGCCATCCCTCTGGTGCTCATCGTACGCTGGACCGAGGCCTGGCTGCTGGGCCCCATCGTCTGCCACCTGCTCTTCTACGTGGTGACCATGAGCGGCAGCGTCACGATCCTCACGCTGGCGGCGGTCAGCCTGGAGCGCATGGTGTGCATCGTGCGCCTGCAGCGCGGCTTGAGGGGCCCTGGGCGGCCGGCGCAGGCAGCGCTGCTGACTTTCATCTGGGGTTACTCAGCGCTCACCGCGCTGCCCCTCTGCATCTTGTTCCGAGTGGTCCTGCAGCGCCTTCCCGGAGGGGACCAGGTGAGCCCAGGCTGCGTGCAAAGCAACAGGTTTTGGGGCCAGCTAAGGTGGGGTTAGGGGGATCGGACTGAAGCAAGGAAGATGGTGATTAGTTACAGTAATAGGCCCTTTGTGGAATCCTTTTTGGCAGACCTACTGCCCAGTGCTCTGAAGTTTAATTTCGTCAGTTCCCCCACAGTGCCAAGTGGGTAAGTAAATCCTCCCAAATGCTGTTAAAGGGATTCTCCCGGATTTCTGCAAAATGAACTGACAATTATAGGGCAAATTAAGCAACGAGAGCCTACATCTAGAGGTGACAGCAGGGTGCAAGGTCGAGTTGCTACGTTCTGTCCAGATGCCACGCTACTGTTAACATCACACTCATTTCACAGAAGCTGGGACACCCAGCATCTCTCTTAGAGCCAGGCCGGTACTTAGAAGTACCTTCCCAAAGAGAAACCCCACAGTGGTGGGATGTCCCCTGGACTAATCATATGACCCCCTGAGCCCCCCTCCCCCAACACAGAGGAGAGCTTATTTTTGTCGAGGGGAGGATGGATGAAGGCTACATCCTGGGTAAATGGCATCTTAAAAAAAAAAAAAATCAAACCCTAAAGCCTGTTCTTAGAAGTTTGTTTCTTGTGTAGAGTACTGCAGAGGCGAATGTTTGTTTGATAATGACTTCGAATGGCAAATGAGCAGGGACCCAGCAGGCCTGTGGCACTTAATCAAAGAACATGTAAGCCTGTGGCCCCATCTCCCTGGGTACAGGAGATCCGGGGTTAGCTGAATTGATGGGTGCTGCTGGCCAGGAAGAGATCAAGGTCTCTATTTTACTCCCGGCTAGTCCTTAGCCCAGCTATGCCTGAGCATCAGGGCAGGCCATATAGGTGCTTCTGGAATAAGTGAATGTTCAGGCCTAACTCCACACCAAAGTGATCGGCTAGGTCCCAGGCATGTCCAGCCTGTATCCAGCCGTCTGTATGTGGTACTAAACTATGAACATGGCCTGACACAGATGGCAATGCCGTGCCACAGGCTCAGAACGGTGGGCACCCCAGGAAGAGCCAGGTTCTGCCGTGGCTTATCTGTCTAAGCTGTTCTTCCACTGGCTTACAGCAGTACTGCTGATTTTCTCATAGAACTTAAGGGATTTCTTGTTCTTGACACAGAAAGACTCCAGTTCCAAGAATTAAGACCAAATAGGATATCTTGAATTCCCAGATGTACTGTCCTTTTTCAAATCCATCTGGGTAAAATCCTATTTAGCTGGCAAATAACACGAAGAAGGAGGAAGAGGAGGACGAGAGGAAGGCCATATCGCCTCCCAGCCAGACCCCAGACTGAAGCAGTACTACTGCGGTCCCTGGGGCTTGAGCAACAAGGACTTTGTGTTGTTCTCTGTGTATTCATCCCCCTGGGTGGGGATGTGTAGGACTGGAGCCCCCTAGAGCACCTCCAGGATTTTATTCCGGGGGCATCTGTGGAGACCATGCCTGGAAACCTCTTGTTTTACTGAAAAACACCTTCTGGATTTCAAGGGTCGTGAGGGTGGCATTTGGTCAAGGCCACTAAGACAGAATGGGCTGACGCTGTTTTAGGGGTTCAGCCTTAGTTGATAGGAGGTGATAGGAGCCTTAGTCATTGAAAATAGTAGGGTTGGGATGGGGAAACTTGTAATAAAAATGGGGCCTTGTTCTGCCTCCCTGCCATTCTTGTCTTCTCCTCTTCCTGTCTCTGTCCCTCTCCTCAGCTCTCTCTGTGTTCCTCTCTGAGCTTCTCTCTCTCTCTCTCTCTCTCTCTCTCTCTCTCTCTCTCTCTCTCCCTCCCTCCCTCCCCCCCCCCCCCCCCCCCCCCCCCCCCCCCCTTCCCCCTTCCTTTCTCGACTTTTTGAGACAGTGTCTGTGTTGTGTATCTCTAGCTACCCTGGAACTCTCCACATAGACCATTTTGGCCTTGAACACACAGAGATCCTCCTGCCTCTGCCTATGAGTGCTGGGATTCAAGTCCTGGGCCATCATGGCCAGTTAACTACCCCCTCTCTTAGAGAATACAACTGTCTCCTTTTCTCTGAGGCTTTACTTCCCACAGTTTTAGCTTTCCTGGCTTCAGTTACCCATGGACAAGTGAGGTCAGAAAATATTGAGTGGAAATTCCAGAAAAATAATCCTAAATTTTAAATAAATTTTATTTCAGTCTGTGGTTATAAATTGTTAATTTCTGGTTAATCTCTTACTGTGCCGTATTCATGTCTTAAAATTTAGCCTAAGGATGTATGTATAGAAAAATCAGTGCACATAGGGATCAGTGTAGTTCTGGCTTCCATTATCTTCTAGGGGGTTCTAGAACATGTCTCCCTTAAGAATAAGGGGGCCTCTGCATTCCATATTTTCTGTATTCATCCCAAGGGATCCTAACATGGAGAAACGTCCCAGTTCCTCAATGACTGTGGCCTGACATTGTGGGAAACGTTCAATTTTATAAACTCGGCGGTTGAAGAAGTAAGCATGTGTCAGGAAATGGCACATACTAACCCCTAGACTGAGTAGCCCACCCAACGCAATCCACAAGCATGGGAGGGGGCAGGGTGGGCATAAGGAGAGTGAGGAGGAGTAGCCACTTAAGAATGAAGATGGCAGAGAAGGATCTGCTCCAGTTGGAGGCAGGCTTCACGTTTAACATTAATTAGCAGAGCCAGGGGTGACAACTCATCTTTGTAATCGCAGCACTCAAGGGGCTGAGGCAGGAGGATTGCCGTAAGTTCGAGACTGTCCAGGGTAGAGAGTGGGGCCCAGTCTCTAAATAAATGCAGGAATAAATAAGCAAATAAATACAAATAACAGATGTCTGTTTTTCCAGTCCTTGGATTGATGGCTTCCTGCTGGTGGCTCATTTGCCTTGCCCAGTGGGATGCTACAAATGGAGGTTTTTGGATGAAGAATTCTTTCCTTCCCAATAGCAGAGAGCACAGACAGCCTCCCCCCACTCCCCAGAGCCTCTGCTATTATGAGACCCTTCAAAGCCTTCATCCATGTAGGCTGGGGTACCTTGCCGTCCAGGGGAGCTGATGGCCATGCTGGTGATTCTAACCTATTTAGTATCTGAGTGTGAGCCCTGGAGCCTCATATTCTGGAGCAGTTCCTGCTCCACAGAAAGCAAGCCTTCCCACCTCTACCCACAGTGCTCTCCTTGTCTCATGTATCAACTACATGAGATTGCCATGGGAACAGGTGTTTGAGAAATGGACCAACACCTGGTGCAACCACAGTTAAGTGCTCAAGAAATTACTAGCTATTATTAGTTTCCTTATCTTGGGGGCATAAGTATTTAAACATCCTTCAAACAGCCTAATTCTTCTAATTGCTGTAACCAGCTGCCGTTTCAAGAGGGTGGACACTTCTTAGCAACACTAACTTCTCAGTCAGGTCAGCCCCCTCTACTCCAACAGGATGCCTGCCTATTTGTGCTGTGGCCTAGGCCTGGCCCTGGCCCGGTGGTGACCCACAAGCATGGGTGGGAAAGACTGTCCACTTTGGCTAGAATTTACATCCATTCATTCCACAAGCATTTGCTGGGCACCCTCCTCTGACCACCCACCACAAGTCACATAAACACACATCAGGAGGTGTTTTCACTAAGTGTGCACATGGGCCCAGATACTACCCAAGTCTGTAGTCTGGTGTGGTCTGTGGCCTAGTAACCCCACAAGTAGGGTTCCCATTATTATTTTCTGAAAGAAGAAATAACCAAAGTCAGGCAAAAATAGTTCCGGAACATAGCCTGGCTCTGACTCCTTTGGGTGCCATAGCCTCTGAACTCATGAACCCGAGCCCTGTGGCCTGCCACTCTCTCCCTCCCTGACCTTGCATTATAACAGGCACCTAGATGGGCTTGGTTCTCACCGTTGCAGTGTTCCTTGGTGGGGGCCCGACAGGAAGGGAGATGACATGACGGCTGCACAGGTTCAGAAGGATGTGAAGAGGGTTCTTCTGGGTAGCAGTGAGCACAGGACGGGGTGCATGCCTGGACAGGGAGAGCAGGAGAGCCAGGGACACCCTTTAGGATGCCTGGGGCGGCCTGGTGGAAATGAGATGGACATCTGGGAGAGGGAGGCCATTGAGAATGAGGGAACACACTGGGAGGCCTTCCAGGACCTCAGATTTCCCTTGTAGCTGGAGGGAAGCAGGAGGCACGAAGGTTCTAGAAACCCAGAGAAGGGCTGCTTCATGTCCCAGTGTGGTAATTAATGCAGGAGGTAGAGACATACGGGACGGGACGGGGGTCAAAACTGTACATAGCTGTGAAACCTCCGGCAGCGTGTCCTTTGCTGCGTGAGACTGCTGTTAGGGAGAACACTGAGCAGAAAACTGGGTCATCTGCCAAAAGAAACTGTAGACGGTGGTGGATGTAGCTCAGTGGTGGAGTGTTTGCTGAGTGCGTGTGTTTAATCCCTAGAACGAAAAACAAACAAATAAAAAGCTATGGAAATGGAGGAGCTCTCCAGGGAGAGGTGGAGATCGGAAGAGGCAGAACACGGGGAGGTGACGGCTACATTTAACTCTTTGCTATGCTTAGCCTCCATCTTCATCCTGCCTGGTCCCAACACCTGAGCACACCCCACCCCCACCCCAGTTCCCTTCCCAGCACAGCTGGAACAGCTCCTTTCGGCTTCTGTAAGCACCTGAACGTCCTAAGGGTCTGGTGATGAATGAACAGATAAAACACTGTTGCTGATGCTGCCGGTTCCAGTGAACCAGGCAGGCCGAGCAGTTTGGGTTTCCAAAGTTCTTTTACAAAACCAGAATATATTTCAGAAGCAAAAAAAAATCAGAGGCTATGATAACACCGTGTGTCCACCTTCCAAGCTCTGCCCAGCTCCTCTGCAAGTCACCGCCTGCAGAGAAGACCAGAATCGACGTGACGTGTTAGATGGAGTTTCCTAGAGACATAAAGTTAGGACACCAGCTCAGCTCTCTGATGGTGGCATGACACCTTTTTGTTGTGGTTTTAATAATTAAGCT